CTAGATACAGTGAAAGAATTTTCTTTCAAGACCATTCCTTTATTTGACACTGCAAATAATCCATCAATATAGCACAAAAACTCCCTGAACATTGATGCCACTTCCCACTGACTGTCTCCATTTGTTCAATCAAGAGACGAATTAAACGCGATAAAACCCACAACTGATTCTCAACACAAACATCGAATCGTTCCAGTCAAAACGGAGAAACAATATCAAGTTATCCCTGATGAGAACGCTCCACTTTACAGACGGCGCAATAATCACCAAAAATCTCATCGCAAACACAGCAACACTTCATTGGCACCGTAACACAAAACGTGAAAGAAGCACGCGATACAGTATTCGCGTGAAACAAAGAATGCAACCGAAACAATGCATCACAATATCCGCGATCCAAGGTAACACGCTTTTGAACAGCAGAGCCGACGCACTTCTCCTTTTCCCGGACGGCATGGAATCACAGTTTCATCGTTGGAATAAGGCCACGACACTCGTCAAAGAATCTCATAGTTCAATTTTTTTTTTACAGATGTCACGAATTTTGTGCGTCAAGGTTCTAACAATTATAATTCTTTTGTTCAGGTTTACAACACTTGATCGTCAACATCCGGTATTTGCACGCCAAAGCGTTGAAAAAAGGTCAATTGTCTCAAATTTCCCGGTCAAATTTTGTGCGTCAAGGTTCCAACAATTATAATTCTTTTGTTCAGGTTTACAACACTTGATCGTCAACATCCGGTATTTGCACGCCAAAGCGTTGAAAAAAGGTCAATTGTCTCAAATTTCCCGGTCAACGCGAAAAAAACGTTCTTGAGATACAGGTTGAATATGCCTTAATCACACGCGCAATTTTTCAAAAGGGGAAAACATAATAATCCACAAAAAATGCTTCGTGGTTTGAACAGAAAGAGAACGACTTCTATTAGCTCATTGTAAAGAAAGAGATCCGACGTGAGTCAAATGTAAAGGAATCAAATTAGAATTTCTAGAAACACTCAAGACTTTCATAATATCTCAAATTCAAGTAAAAATTATTTTCATGAGTGCATCTCAGTCCGAAGTTTCTTTCATCCCAAACGAAACCGGGAAAAATCAGTCGAGAGGAAATACTCTTGGACAAAATGGCATCTCATTGAGCCACTTTTCTCATTGGCTTGCAGAAGAAAATTTTTACGAAACCTGACACATTTGAAATGCATTTATTTTGCATAAAGCTTAAACGCTTTCAAATTTTGCAGCATTGTTTCCAATATCTTTTCCATTTCCTTTATGCAAAGGGGCGGTTGATGAGCAGAGGAGTGCAAAAATTGCCTTTTCTCAGGGGATCTAGGAATTACAGAACTGCATCAAAACTGGAGAAAATCCCATTAAATAGACCTTGAAAAAGCCAGGGTTAAGATTAAAGATTGGTTTGTTGAAACATTTCTCCTTCTGGAAATATCTCAGAAATTATTTTATGATAAGCAAGTACAGTAAGTTTTGCTTAAAATCCTCGTAAAGCTATTCGAAACATGGCCCAAATCGCCCTCAACGGCGCATCTGTACTTTAATTTTAAAAATTGAATTAATTCGTCCATTTCACAAATTATTTTCGGAGGACTTTTTCTCGTCAATTTCAGGAAATGACGGCATTTCAACAGGTAAAACTTGGTTTGATCACGAGATCAAACAAAACCGAAAGCGCCGAACAAAGCATTATCGTCCCATCATTTTTTGATGGCATTATTTTTAACCAAATCATCCAGAGCCCCGTCGGCGAGGTCCTTCAGTTCCTGTTTCGGATCATCCCAATACTTGGCAATTAAATCTGACCTCACAATCGTAAAATTCCACTTCTGCGTTCTGGAATCGTCGTCGCACTTGGAAACGTAAATTTCCCTCGCGCCGGGATTATGGTCCAAGCACCTCATGTGATGACCATGAATTATCATTTTTCTCGCCTAGACAAACGCATGACATTTTTTCAACGATCAACTCAAAATGCCAAACATCACGTTACCTGATCATAGCTCCAGAGTTGGTTTCCACCTGTACCATGGCAACTCCACAAGAGAACGGGGGCACGAGCATCGCCCGAAGACACGTCCCAACAAACACTCCGCTTTCCTGGCCTGATGTCTTTGTGGTATGTCAGAGAAAAACGCTAAAAAATTCAAAAACGAATTTAAAAAAAAATGAAAACGAGCGTCCAGAAGACAAAAGATCATACTTGTTCTCCTCCTCCTTTAGGGTTGTCAGAAACGCAAATTTCCATACCGAATCGTTCGCCACTTTGCTTGAACCGGGAATCAACGCAGAGATTCGGAGATGCAATGCTTCTCACCTGTCACACAGAACGAAACCCTCTCCACTCAAGTTTGTGAATTATTATCACCACGAAAATAGCCAAAGAATACAAAATATTACCAATGCCGAATTACGGTAAAATACTTTTCCATCTTTTCCACTTTGAGGTCGAACCTCGCATTCTGAAACGTCAGTTGGGTGCTTCCTAAACCATTAGCCTCCTTGAGAGGTACAGTATTAGAAATTTACGCATGGCAGGACCAAAAAGTACGAGCGTAGTCCATGCCGTGTCAAAAAAACATGAAAGTTGAGTTACATCAGCATTCCATTGAAGAAAACACCCCCCGTTTCACGACGAATTCCTCCATGGCGGAGAATTAATTTTTCTAGAATTACCGGAACACGTAATCCAATTGTAGAACTAACCTCTCCTTCGGCAAAATCCGGAGGTTCAATCGGTGGATATTTTTCAGACAAGTCAAAGGCTACTTCTTCCATGAACCAACGGAAAGACTTGCATTGCAACCGGTCGCGAACAGCCTTTTGCTCAGTCAAATCACCAGGGTCGATTTTTCGATATTGCGGACGACGACGATAGAGAAATTCCGCGTACTCGTCCATCCAAACAACAGCAACCCTTCGGTAGTTCTGTTAGATACGAAACGCAATGACGAATAATTTCAGGATTTCTCGTTTCACACAAATCGGAGTCATAAGCAATCCTGAGTTTTACGAAATAATCCGTACTTGGGATACACTATCGTACATTGATTCTTTCACAGTTCAACAAATGTCTACATTTATCACGTAGTATAGATTTTTTTTTGAAGCAACATAAATAAGAGGGTAGAAAAATATGATGAAAAAAGCACTGCCTGAGGCTAACATGCAGTGCAAATTTTCAATGCCAACGAACCTTTCCAACGAAGTCACCGATTCCAGGATTCGGAAACGGGGCAAATTTTCGATAAATGTGGCCAACTCGGGAGCATGGAGCGTCCACCATTTTTCCACCGCACTGCCAAATCTGCAAAAAACAAGCACGAATGAGCGTACAGTAGGGCAATGCGAAAAAGGAAATTAATTACGAATGGTTTTCAACGGATGGCCTACAAAACATGTTGCTTTTACCTAGACCGCGATTTTAAAATTTTTGATTCATCGGTATCCTCCAACCTCGTAGAGAAAAAATAGAAAAAGGGAACCCGCGTCAGGTAAACTTACGAAACCCAGTTCACTCACATTTTTTCCTCAGCATACTTACAGCCATATTCTCTTTTCAATCTAATAAAGAAAATCGAAGTAAGAAAAAAGAGCAAACCTTGAAGGATAGCTCGTATTGTTCGCCGCCCCAGATTTGCAACCCAGGGTCGTATCCTCCGAGTTCCCAAAACCATTCTGCACTGATGGCGAACAAACCGCCAGCCATTACGGGGCTCCTGTGAAGAAAATAAACATTGATTAACGCCGATCACAACGTCAAATAATATGGGCTTGGGTGCAATTTTTCCGGGTAAAATACACTCACTTGAAGGGTTTAGGCATGTTTTTCTCGTCTTCCGGAAGAACAGGGAGTCTTTTGTAGAAAAACTCCCAGTCAAATGCACCTCTCGCTCCTTCGTCTTGCGCTCGATACTCGAAATTTTCGTAGTCTATTACGTCAATAAAGGGACAAACGACGGTTCTCTTGTCCTCGGCAATCGGATCTGTAACCAAGATTCATCTTTGAATTTTAGAGTGAAACGTATAACTTTCTTTATACAGTACAAATTTACTTGGAGTAATGTATTTTCCACTTCAAGAAAAATTTAACGATGCGCCGTGTATCGAATCCAGAAAGCCCTTCAGAATCGAGGGAGTCTTACATTCTCATCGCATTCACTGATTTACACAGAAAAAATTTGCACCATATTACTGTATTAATGCATCAACAACCCATTCTACCCATCCAAGCAACGAACCTGAGCATCAAGCTGGAGGGAATACGAAAAATACGGCGAATATACGAAACTGAGGATTTAAAGCTCATTCATAACAAGATAAGCAAAAATTATTTTTCTCACAAAGTTTTTTTTTTTTTGCTGTATACTTTTCTCACTTCACGCCAGAAGGTTCCATTTGAAAAAATTGACGTGACTTCAAAAGCAATAATCCATTCCAGGGAACATCAGGTGAAATTCCATTTTGAAGACAGCAGAAAAATCCTTTTTGAGCACTCACCTAACAGAGGTGGCAGCCAATTGACATTCGCTTCCGAGTGCGAGTCCAGAAAGATTATCACATCTCCTTGGGCAACTTTCGCTCCGGCCAATCGGGCCAGAATCAATCCCGATCGCTGCTTCAACCGAACGATCCGCACTTTCGGCAAATGCGCAGCAACGTAGTCGTCCAGGGGTTTCTTGCAAATATCCTTCGAAAGGCAACTTTCGCTCCGGCCAATCGGGCCAGAATCAATCCCGATCGCTGCTTCAACCGAACGATCCGCACTTTCGGCAAATGCGCAGCAACGTAGTCGTCCAGGGGTTTCTTGCAAATATCCTTCGAACTGAAGTCGTCGACGAGAATGACTTCCTTGATCAGCTCGGGTGGGGATCGATTTATCACAGAAATGGCGGTCCTCAACAGAGTGGACAAATGCTCATTGTGGAATGGCACAACCACGCTCGCCGTGGGCAGGTGTTTCCTGTACTGCAGTTTTTTGCATCTAAAATTTTGAGAAATTTATCCCATCATATTTTTAGGGTCATTGTAAGATTTGTAACCGAACTATATTTTAGAGTGAATCGAAACACAATACCTGTAATATCATACCACAGAAATAAATCTGTATCGACTAAATTTGTTACTCTTCCTCGTAAAAAAAAAAAGGTACAATACGTTTTCAAATTCAGGAAATGTTCTCCATTTCGAGCACTTCCGAAGTTCCGCAAAAATCAAGCATTAAATCGGAATCGTGCATTTGGGAACTTGAAAAAAAAAAACTTGTGATGAAAAAAAATTTGGTTAAAACGAAATAAAAATATAATTGTGGCTATTGGACGGGGACCAAAAAATCAAATTCGTTATGAGATTCTCCAGTGTTACAGGAAATTTTAAATGACACTACGCCATGGTTCAAATAATCTCCTACATCGCCTCAGGATACCGGGAACTTCCAATAGCAGAATACGCCGAAGTGAAAACGGATGATGTTAATTTTTAAAAATTTTAAATAATAAACCAGAACTCAAAAACTTTCACGCACCCTTCGTGCCTGATGTCAGACAAACTTCGGTCCAAGGCAATCTGGTCAGAGGCAAATGCGTTGAAGCCGTTGACCTTATACGCAGCATCTTTTTCCGGGGAATCCGGGGTAACATGTCGAGCTCCTTTTTCTCCATTACCTAGTACAAAAAGAAGTATTCCAGTGAGGCAATGTGCACTGATGAGAATATACTAAAAATGCATCGCACCGGATCGCTCGGATTCTTGCTTGATTTGCTCGTAATTATGCCAATCTTTCGTCTCTTCGTTCGCTTCCACGGGCCACTGGAAAAAATCGTTGAATAAATAGATTTTTGGGGGCGGCCGATTAAAAAAATTTATAACTTACCCTAAACCAGAAATTTCCTTGCACATCTTCTGGTTCGTAATCGCTCCTGCTCACGATCGATTTCAAGGCAAAAATTACAAAAATTGTCAAGAACACTAGACCTAGTTCCTTCCGCCGACGGCGAATTTTAACGAACAATTTGGGCATTATTGATGTTCTGAGACTGCCCTGAAAAAATGAGGCATTCACATAGCTTTAGATGCAGAAAACTCGACTTTCCAGTCAATCAAGGCATTCAACATTTAATCGATTCATTATATTCACGATTATGATGTACGGCTGCGAATTTGATTTGAACCTTCCCCCAAAAATGCACCATTTGAAGCAAAAACGAAGCAATAAACTAAAATTCGATCTCGTTGCAATTCAGTGAAAAAAAAAAGAATGCAGAGGCCCGTGGTCGTTGTGCGACTGGAATGAATCACACATTCATTCTGAAAGTTCAAGTATCATGTTGACCGCACGACTCTTGTCTCCGCAACAGTTTTCCGACACAGTCCGTATCACAGCCTCATCCACATTCGGAAACATGTCCTGGAGCTATGGAAACATATCGAAAGAAATAACCATGTCAAACATAATCCCTCTTGACAATTTGAAGGGCGAACGAAATACGGTCAACCTTCGATTTAGTGCCAAAAATTTCCCTCCATTGTGTTTGAAGGAGAAAGCCCACTTTGGTGCCAAAAATTCAAATTTCTAAATTTACTACGTTGAAACTTTTTTTCCGCACGACACCTTCCTTAATTATTATTTTAAAAATGCAGTTGGATACTTCCTGGTAATATGAATGACTGCTGTGTGTTGGCACATGATACTGAAAGATTTTGAAGTGTCGGAGTTTCCTTTTGTGGAGGGCACATTCTGAAAGCTGGCAAAATTGAAATAAAGGGGCAACTTTGGGGCCATGAATGGATGTTGCAAAATATTATCAAAATAATACTCCGGGGGCAATATTTTATTTACACTGTGTGATGTGCTTCCCTTTAGATTAGAATCAGGGTCAAAATAATGCAATGAGCATATCTTTCTTCCATATCGATTTCAAGTTCTAGGAAACTATTAAATTTTATAATATCCTCGATTTAGTGCCACAAAATGTCCGCGGACGGATGAAGACATTAAATCGTTGTTTGACTGTAAATGACCCTTGGAAATCTAAAAAAAAAGGGTGGGGATACAGGAACACTAAAGCAACACCCACTGCGTAGAATGATCTTTTCACTGGTTACTCACCTCTTTAAAATCTGCCTCAGACAATGCTTGTGGCTTGGGTTGGACAGCTGCAACAGGCACACCCGTGGTGGCAACAGGTACCCCTGCAGGTACCACTGGAGCAGCAACATAGGCCCCAGCTGGAACCGCAGGGGCAACATACTGCCCTTGAATCACGGCTGGAGGGAACTGATACGGAAAGTAGCCCGGAGTAACCCGATTACCAATCATGGGGGCTGCGATATTCTGAATATAAAATGGATAGGATGAATTAGGCATTCTGAGCAAAGCAAGAACTCAGTATGACTTACCGAGTATGACAGAACGAGGTTTATGTGACCTTCCTGGCCTTCGCCTTGTTTCCCGGAAAGCGCGAACCATTCATCGATTGTTTTCCCTTCTCGAAGAACAGCCGGCGGAATTTGTATGTACGCCGAAGCGATCAACTCATCAGCAGTGAATGAGCATTCATCAAAAATTTCGACGTGAATTGCATCAATGCCCGCTGGCAACAGGCTGAAAACGAAAAAAAAAAAATTTACGCCGTGGAATTAAAGATGTTCACGAAGACTTACCACTGGATTGTTTTCTCCCATCGAGGTGTTCGGGATCCACTTATATCCGTATGCGTTTCGAAAATCGTGTGCCCCACGCGCAATCGGACGTATGGATCCATTCTTGTCATTCCGTAGTTCTTGACCAACTTCGCCTGAAAAATTTTCCCGAATCCCTTGTTCACTCAAACACAAGCCACACACCCAGTTCGATTGAAAGACCAGGAGCGTAAAATTGGAGTAGCGCATCATATTGAAAGCATGCCATGGTGTACTTTCGCAAACGGTACCTACACTGATGACTCCGATGGCTAATCTGCCGGCACCTGTGGCATTCGAAAACCGAGCATTGGATCTTCTTTGCAATTCCATCGCTGCTTCGTGATCTTGGGCTTCTTGCTGTTGCTCAGGAGTGGCAGTGATGCACAGGAAGTCGTCGGGCAATGATCCAGTCATCGCCTACACAAGCAGAAAAAATTCACATATTGGAAAACTTCCGTGAAAGCTCATGATTGATCGCATCAATTGATTCCATAAATCATACAACGGACCTGATTCTTCCATTCTGGATTTTTTCCGGAGTAGGGCGCCGTAGCCATGTCCAATAGATTCACTTTTACTGTATTTCAAAGGGATACACAATACATCATTATACTGCACTAAATCCAGTTGACCACGAACTGTGCGCAGATTTATGTTGACACACAACACCGCATTTCACCAGATATCCACCGGCGGAATTAATACGCAGCTCAAAGATTATGAGGTACGTTGATAGCAATTCACACAGCTCCGAACGAGAACTACGTCACGTGCTGGAAAAGACGCGTTGACTTACCGGCTTTCCTCAGGGTTGCCAACCGAATAAAATGAGCATGGAAAACCCGGAATCCTGCGATTTTATCTCCACGTTTCAACTTTCGAAAGCAGAAATTTTCAATCGCATGCAAACCGTTGAATCATCCAAGGACGTTACTTATAAGATGTTTATTCGCCATCTATTTTTTCAACTGAATGGACTAAATTTCCACTCAACTGGTATATTACAGTGCACGGTAGAATAACTGTTAATACCGGATTATTTAAGGTGTGAAAGGACTTGCAGGTACTGTATTGTATATGAGTACAGTACTGTGCACATATTTTGTCAATGCAGTATTGTAATGTATTTTGGAGAGTGGTTCCATTTACACTCCACTTTCCAGTATTGCAAGCATGTGACATGATGAGTGAGAGGGTTTTCAGCCGGAGGGTCCATCCAACTTTTGAAATGTTGAAGGCACAAAATGGCATAGCTATGATGGAGAATCTTGCAAAAGGACTACTGAAACAACTTCAAATTAGTGGAAAAATGAGGACAGGATTGACCAAAGAGGTGTTTCAGAATTGCATGGGGACCTTGGCAAGGAAAGGCAGGGATGGACGTCACAATATTGGTTAACTCTCTACAATAATTTTCTTTGGAACTGATGGGTTTGCTACTCATCAAATGGAGGTTCTTCACAACAGAATTCTCTTTAATACCAAATGTATTTTGGTCCCCTGAATTTCATTGCCGAGACACTCCACCCTCATAAGAACTTATTTACAGTTTATGACTTACATCTGCGGGATTAGTGTCAGCAAAAAGTACAGAGGTCATTTCAATGTATCAATGACTACTGCACATATCTTAGTTCGAAAAAATACACAGAGGCAAGCAATGGCTCAGCGAACATCATATACAACTAGGCATGCAGACACAAAAAGTGAAACAATCTTGTGTTTTTTCTTCAGAACTGCTACATTTCACTTTCACAGGTTTTCTTGAAAAAGAAAAACCAAATTCAACAGCAAGGGATGCGTAGAACTCGCGCTTGGATACTTGCTCAAATTCACGAGAACTTATACAGAATCTTCACCTTACTTCACTCCCTTGAAAGCCGATTTCAATGTCTAAAGTAAGAACACGCGGTAAATTCATCACAGCGCAACGGTCTGCAAAGCAGGTTCATCAACAGGAAAACCAATCCGGTATTGTCTTGCGATCCCACCGTTTGTTCCTCTTGTCGGTCATTTCTTTCTGGTGTTGCTTCATATCTTCAAGCGGCTTCATTTCCTCTTTATCCACATCCTCGGGGAAAAGATCAGGAAATTCGAACCACTCGTTCTTTGGCTGCGAATGAAAGCGCACACGAGAATGAAAAATGAAAGACACTGCATTGGAATGAAGAAAATAAAACTCAGAAACGTACCAGAGTAACATAAGCAACTTTGTAATCGTCATCTTTCACCACAAACCCCTTCTCAATCAACCTGGTTTTGCCTGGAAAACACGAGAGCAAAAATTGGGAACTACAGTACTTCGACACAATTATTTAAACAAATAATACTGTACAAGGTGTAGTAAAAAAAAATCTTTATGACTTTATGAGGCTGAGTAGTTCAATTTAATATCGTCAGCATTTTTGTGTGAGGCATTTGAATACAGACAGTTCAAATTGCAAAGTTGTTAGTTCATTAATTAGCTCAATGTTAAAAAAAGACACTCAAAGATCAGGGATATTCTTGAGAATTCGTGATATCACAAAATAAAACAGGAAATACTACAGCATTCAGCCAGAATTTCCCCAAAATATGTTAAAATAACTCAGCTCACAACCTGATAAACAAAAATTTTAAATTTGCAATATGGTTTAGGATGTGACCAAATATGGATGACCAGAAATCGTAGGGCATCCCAGGTTGTGAACATACCATATTTGTTTGAGTAACACACACCCTTGAGTGAGACAAGCATCCCATTTTAGGGACTGAGAAACAACAATATTTCAACTAAAAAAAAAAAAAAAAAGACACCAGATTGAAATTTGAACATGGATTCAATTGATTTTCTCTTTTTAATAAAAAAATTATTTAAAAATGTTTATAATATTCAACTTTGACGCACACATGAAGATTTTTTCTCTAAATTTTAAGAAAAAAAAAAGGTGCACCAGGTACACTACTCAAGTTTACGGCATAATAATGACACTACATCAGCACCAAAGTAAGAAATACGTACTGTACATGGTTTCTAAAATCTAAACAAACGATGCATTGAAACTTCAAACTCTCCTCCCATTGCTGGTTGAAATCGACAACATTTCTTACCAATGTGATTATGCAAAGCAACGTTGGCCACAGGAACCTTGTAGATTTTAGTCAAATAGTTTTTGACGTCAAACCGCGTCATTTCCGTCGAAACTATGAAAGTCACGATGTTCTTCGGCATCGGGTCTTCGGGCTTGACCAACTTCATCCAGAAATTCGGCAAAAAAACCCTCAGCTGCGGATTTCCTTTCACATATCTCGGATAACTGAAACGCAACAACTAATGAAGAGAATCCGAACTGAAATCTGCGAAATCGTGGGACACTCACACTCTTGTGGACATTTTTCTCCCGTTCTATACAAGATCAATCCTGAAATCAGCAAAAATTATGAAAACTTCAGAGGAAAATAATCCTGATTTCAATGACAAGAAAAACGAGACCTTTCTTCTTTTTTATAAAAAAAAAAAACTTGCAAGATTCATTCATGCATCAATCTTTAAGAGTAACCGCCGAATTACTCAAGTTGTCGACAACCAAAACAATAGAAAAATCGCATCATCCTGTCGCATTCGCGTGGTACACTTGGAAAAACGAGGAGAGAAAAACATTCAAGCGAATCCCATGTACTCGACGGATTTCGAGGGAACCGTGGGATAAAACTGTTGGCATTTGGTCATCAGTCTCTTGAGTCCCTGTATGTATTTCCGCTGCGTTTCATCGTTCAACACGTGTGCCACATTCTTCGAAAAGATTTTCTCTCGCCCGGTTCGGGCGTGAATTCCCACCATGGTCACGCCAATAGGCCAAGGCGCGTTCCCGATCGCCATTTGCAAATACGCGTCGTTCGCCTTAAAAAGAAGAGAAATAAATGCAGTAGACGAATAAACATTGCACTTCAGGACCTCTTTTCTAGATTTAAACTATTTTCAGAATCACTGGATATACTGTACCTTCAGGTAATCTCGTTCGAGTAAACAAAGGACGATTTCGACAACACTGTCGAGAAGATCTTCGGGCAGTTTGCGTTTCCTCAGCTGACGGAACAGGGATTTGAGATACGATTGTGTTTGCGAATACGTAGCAGAGGCCATTTTTCCTTTGACGCTCATTTTCTCAGCCATGCTGCGGCTGTTCAAGTCGTCTCCCCATCGCCTCAGCAGGAACTGTAAAAAATGAAATTTATTTTCCTCACACAATAGTTGATATGGCTTTGTAGTTAGTACAATATATTCTTTCATCCATCTAACGCAAAGACAGAAAATAATTTATGCCAGCTTAAATATTTATCGACCGGCGCCAACTTCAAAAGAAAACAGATTGCAGGAAACTTTATAGTGTGACGAAAAGAGAAGGTTTGCTCCGTAAAAGTACGAAGTTTTCTCGAACAAATCATTTTTTTACAATTGCGGATAGCTTGAAAACCAGGAGGATTCCAAAAACATTTTTGAAGGTAATGTAATAAATAAACACCAAATGAAAATTTCGAAGGAATAGAAACACAATAAATAACAATAGAACGAAAAATGATCGAAAAAAGCAATATCCATTTCGATAATGGAACATTGATGAACATCTCCCAAGGTTTAATGCCATTCTACAGTAGTATGGAATTGTATGCTTATTTACAGTCTCAAGATTTACCACACTAACTTTACAGCTATAATTCATCATCAACTGAAGCAACGAACAGGTTGAAACTTGAATTGAATTGTGACAGAATCAGCTTTTACGAAGCACAGCATGCGAATTTTCTGCTATGCAACTGCAGCAAAAATCCCAGAATCGCTTAATTACACCTCATAGAAACAAGCTAATAATATGAATAAAATACACTACACTACTTTTTACATGCGTTCGTTCAGACACTTGACAAAGCGATCAAACGTCGCTCTTGAAAGTCTACATTTCAATTTGATTTCTTATGCCTCTCAGTAAATAAATCGTAGATTTTTCAACTATCCCCTACCTTTAGGTACGACAAAACAATGCCTGAATCGTAGTCGTTGTTTCCCTTGGCCATTTCCTTTGACTTTTCGATGATCTCGTCAAGGGTAAGAATATCGTCACCCTCACTGCCTGCAGGGACAATGTGCACATCATGTGGACAGTTCTTCGTACCATCCGATGCTCCTTGATTCTTCACCAACTCCTCGAGGTACGTCTGATCCACTCGCTCCATAGCGGCTTGGAAATCGTTTCTGAAACCCTGGGAATCAATCGATACCGCTGCCGTGAACCATCGCAAACAATTCACTCGAGCATTTTCCAACAAGGAAGAATGCGCGTCGCTCAAGAAACGCAGGAAGAAGAAAGGTGATGCTGAACGATTTCTTCGAAAGGAAAACTTCTCGCACATGCCAGGAAAAATAAGTGGCTTTCCATATTACTGCATTCGTTTTTTTTTCTACGCAAAAGTATAAGCGGATCAAGCTTATTGATAATTCTAAAAAAAAACCGCACCTAAAAAAAAATTGAACTTCTGGAATTCAGTAAACGTAAAAAATTATAGCTTTTCATATGATATTCACGAGAATGTAAATCGCACTTCAGCATTTTGTTGACACAGAAAGGAAAAGATTCCGCCCACAAATAAGCGACGCATTTTCAAGAATTTCAATTCCCCAGAATCGACGGAGACAATGACTTCTACTAATGCTTCAGGTTCCACGAAAATTTATAAAAAAATGTCCAATTTTAATTCTTCAGCATAGAAATTGACGCACCCAGATTTTTCTGAACTAATTGAAAAATTGCGTTTAAAATTCAAGTATTTTTAAAATTTTATACATCTTCGAGGTCAGAAAAATAACGTAAAGCTAGATCAATCAAGTTTAAAGAATTTATGTTCAATTGGAAAGTGATTGAAATAATTGCATCTGGATGTTCTTACTTTTCAAGTGAAGGTGGTAGCTTCAATCGATTCAAAAAACGGAATTTTCTGTTTTCCATCTATCGTTTGAACTCAAGAAGAGTTTGAATACCTTGTTTTCTTCAGGCATGAGAATCTCCAGCTCCCTCAGACGGCGAAAGGCGACCTCGTGTGATTCGCCAAACAAAAGCGCGGGTTCGCTTCGTTCCCTCAGTCTCCTAACCACTTCTTTTCTCGGCAAGATCGGAAAATCTTCCTCGACGCTTCCTATGATAAAACAGAACAACACAATTGACAAATTTGGGTTAGGTTAAAAAAAGACGTTTTAAAATATCAAGGAAATATTTTTCTCATCAAGGTGCGATCTTCACCTTTCGCGCTCGTCTTGTTGCTTCTCAATTCTTCCCGCGTTGCAGATTTATCCGGCGAAGTTTCCGCAGCGTGTTCATGCAATTCTCCTCGTTTGAAGTATTTTCGATCAGCTGACTGAAAAAAAAAATGATCCAGAAAAATATCCATGAATTATTTATAGAAATCTCAATCACAGTTGATCAATGAATTGATAAGAAACTCGTCTCTTGAATAATATCAAGGCTAGAATATGATTACTCACCAGGACATTCGCCTCCTCCAGCTGTCGTTTCTTGCGCATGATTTCCTGCTTTAAAATATCCATTTTGAACACACTTTCAAACGAAAAAATCTTCTGAAACACAGAGCGGAAATTACACACAGTTTATACATAATTCTAGTCCAGTTGAACCTCGATAACTCGAACCTCCCTACGTCGAATTTTTTTCTTCCCTTTTTGAAAACCCTTAGAAACAATGTATTAAAAACCTTTTTAACTCGAAGAGTTTCCTCCATCAATCGAATTTGTTGAGGCATTTTGATTAATATTTTATTGACACAGAAAATAAAAAGGCAATAAAAAAGTAACCTGATGCTGATTTAAAAGGAAGTATAAGACTGATCAGGCGAATAAACCATTGCCTCCAAATTCAGAATCCTGTAGAATCATTCATAAAGCAATTCAAGGCCCAGAATATCACCGATTAAAATTTCCTGAAATTCTTCTTTCGTTCCCCTCAACAAAAATACTTATTTTCCCAACTCGATTTTTTTTTTGCTGGTCCTTTGAAATTCGACTTCTGGAGGTTCGACTGTAGTTGGCATTAAAATTGCTAGCACAAGACAAACGCGGGACAATTGATGATGTCCACCTTATCTCAAAACATTCGCTTGACTCTTTATTCACTCTCCCCCCTCGTCTTTATCCGTCACTTCTGTTCTCCCGTTTCCAAATCGCTTCCGTGACTTCCGGCGGCCGCCTTCCCCGCGTCCGTTCATTCAAGTTACATTTCTTGCATTCAATGAAAGCAGAACGTGACTCGCCGCCATTTCCTTCTCTCCCCTAATTGAGTGTCTTTTTGTTGTCTCGGAATGAAGTCGCAAGCGACTCACAGTGGCGAACTGAAACGACTGTTTGGCAAGGGTGACAACAACAAAACGGAAAACAAAAAAAAGGAACTCCTAACGTACGAAGTCGCGGACTCACCCCAACGGACAACGACAATTCAATGCTAAGTCAAGTCTTTTCATAAGACGAAGGCAAGATGCTCTTGGACAAGAGCAAAATCCTTACACGGAGGCTCGCTTTCCCCAAACTTGAAAAGTTTTGTTCGAACCAGTGAATAAAAAGAAAGCTTTTCGTTTTCTTTACCTACAGCTGGCAGTTACCAAGTATCGAATGCATACGTAAATTACTCAGCGTTTCGATGAATCTTGAGCATACGGATCTCAAGCGATCAACTAAACCTTCATAGCAGTCTTAAATCGTGACCTAGACAACTGAACGCATTCAGAACAGAACGCGTGCCGACGACATACAATTTACATAACATCACTAATGCAAAAAAAAAAGGATTCCTCGAGTGGAAGACAGTAAAAAAAAGTTCAGATAGATTCGGATTACGCTACGCACCGTAAGAGATTGAAACTATTTATCAGCAGGAATGACATTTTTTGGCGCCTTTGTTGATACTTTCCTGGAACGGTACTTCATCAGAGCTTGAATTTCACTTTACTCCTAATTCTAATCCTGTACTAGATTTTATAGAAGCTGTTCCGAAACGCGCCCGTGTGAAACACGCTCAAAAATCCAGCACCAGTATATCATGTAAGACATGAAACGACATCCGGCAATCCAACAACAATGAAAGCGAGCCCCCATGGAAAAACGTTCCTCAAATTTCGCGAAAAGAAAAAAAAATTTTAAAAAACGCAGGAAGAAATAAAAGAGAGCAAGATAAGCGAACGTTAAGTCATTCGCGCCACGCAATGGACCCGTAATAAATGCAGGAACGGGGACGTTTCTGATCGTGTCCTAATGCTATGTCTATCAACTATCACGGCGGAAAAAAAAAGAAACATTTCGCGAGACCAAGCGCTTCGACGACACATAACGCGAATATTATTTTTTTGCGAAGGAACGGTCGACCCGCGATCCGAATTGCAAGGAGCGGTCCACCAAAAACACCGGCGAATTGATCAGATTTTCTTTTTCCCCAGTCATATTTTGTTTTTCTTTGCTAAGTACAGTAATTTTGTTTGATTCGACTCACAGACAACTTACACTTTGAAAATAAATTTTTATTCGAATAATGACGCCATGAAAACAGGATTTCGTCAGATTTTGCCAACCCTTATTCAAGGTGATGAAGTTTCCCCAATTTCCGACTCGAGGGGCAAAACAGTTGAAAAAACAAGAAAAAAAGATTTAAGAAACCAGTCATGCGGAGCAGGGATGGTATGAAATGCTTCATGACTACGAAAAAAAAATGTTGGATCATCAACGCGTCGTGTTTTGATTGATCGCCCCCCCTTCTCATTATCCATTCCTTCAAGGCACAAGCAGCGCCGACGGTCACGCTCAAAACAGGGGGAGAAAACGGCAAGGCGCAATCGCTAGAAGAAATTTTTGTTCCAAATTCAAAAATGAATTCAAACTAGAAAAAAATAAACCGTTGCAGTCGGAGAAACAACAACAGGTAAAAACTCGTAACGCGACGTAAAAAGAGGTGAAGCAAATCCGAGACCGACAGACGGAGTGAGAAGAGCGAAAAGACAACACGCGGGCCCCAACGGGGAAGCACTCGATCCGTCGCGTCCCGAAGACGTCAGTCCGTCATCAGTGCACGACGCCGACTTGATGGTTCCGCGCGTCTCCCTGCTTGAGCCCGTCGCCATTCTTGGTGTTGGCCACGGTCACGTTGTTGCTGCTGCTGTCGTCGTCGTCACCACCACCGCTTCCGTCGCCACCCGCAGTCGGGGCCTTCTCGTCCGTCGTCTCCCATTCGTCGGGAATCCCGCCGCCATTGTTCACGACCTTTTCACTAGGCGCCTCCAACAACTCTTCCGGGGTTCTGAAAGCTCTTGCTATGGGGAACCGCGAGCGACACTTGATTTTGTAGGCTTCCATCTCCGATGTCACGTCGTCGCCGAATTCTCCTTCGAGTAAGCTCTCCAGCACCGCCTCGCAGTCCTTCAATCCCAAAATTCGAAATCAGGATACAGTAGTTTTTCGGATTATGCATGGGAACGAAAGTCGTACACTGAATGCAATATTCAGCTTAAATAAACTGTAATTGACAAACAAAACAATTTTGAAAAAGGAGGAAGAAACGCGATCAACATTGAATCGCGTCATAAAATTAAGTACTGATACGACTGAAATATACGAGTCACACCCCGTTAAGACGCCCTCCAATAAGCCGTCACCCTCGGTAAGCGCAGATTTATTCTGAAAAACAGATCTTCCCCAATGATCATACTTGGCATTGGAAACCCCATTAAAACGCCTTCTGCCAAAATGATTGAAAACTCCAACATGCACCAGCCAATTAATTTTGTCTTCGATAGCCCGCCAACAAGATTCAAGTTTCTTCGAGAGGTCTAAAATAAAATTTTAGAAACACAAACAACCACGAATATGACATAATTTACTTCACGAGAACAAAATCTTGATATAATTTACGCAGGATTATTTTGATTATTTTCTAGAATAATTAGAATTTCATTTCCTATCACAGTGTAATTCATTTCCATTATATTTCAACTTTTTTCATAGACAGCCAACCATCTTTAAACCGCTACAAACCTAACAACACATGGCGGCGGCTTATTGAGGTTTGACAGTAAAAGAAAAATGAAAATTCTCTCTCGGTTATTCTGCAGACGCTTGCGATCGGGAGGCATCGCAAAATCTAACAGATCAACTGAATCACTCACCAATAACTTGACTTTCTCCACTCCTCGTTCGATCTCCGTAGCCAAAGCTATCGACTCTCGTTGGCTTGATGGGTCCAGAAAATACATCATTTTTGAACCTAAAAAAGGAAATAAAGTCGTCCAAATTCAAAATTTCCATGTCAAGGAAATTCCGTGGGAAGAGAATTTTCGAGTCTCGAACATTCACGAAGTTATTTGTTCAACGAAACTTTCGGGGCCCCCCACAATATTTCCACCGCGTCTTCCTCGCGACATTCGCTTACATTCGTGGCGATGCGGGACGGACCACTTGTATCGGTCCAGGATTTCGTGAAGGAAAGCCTTGGGCTCCTTTTCGCCGTACATCGCGCTGCATTCGGACTGCACAACCTGACGGACGGACTCGGGCCACTCGGACTCGTGCTCCTTGCGGAATTCGGCAAACCTCACGACCATAGACACAAACTTGGGGTGTTCCGGGTCCTTCTGCCACAGCCGTTTAATCGATCGGAGCATCAACAGAGGTTTCTCTGGACAGGAGGAACGCAGAAATTGTAAATCGATTGTCACGCGATTACGGCACTGTATTGTGTGTATTACGATATACTTATTGGTAATACAGTACTGATTTTCTGGCGATCATATACAGTACATTACAGTACTCTAGTTAGCGTGGCATATTTATTTGTACCCCTCGTTTTATTTTCTTTGCGAAAAAAGCTTTTCAAATCTCGAGAAAGTGGTAGTAATTCAATTCCAAAACACTGGCCTCTTCCTCTCTCAGTTACAGTGCATTCAAAATTAATACGATGCAATAACAACAAATACAGCACATTGCCAATAAATACGTATACTGTATAATCAGATCATGAAAAAAGTCTGTAAGGTAAAAAAAGGACGATTCTAGTTACTCGACCGCCCGGCAGGTGGAACTTAGAATCAATAACCTCTTTTCAATTTTCACTAAATCAGTACAATAACCTGAAAGGAAGAAAAATTGAATTATCTATCTCGAGAATAGCTCAGATCATAATAATTTTGAATAAAAACTAACCTCAACCGAATCAAATCAAACCGACGGTCAAACAATTTACATATTAGCAACAAATCCGTTCAGAAAATAAAGAATTTGGGACGACAGGCAATTTAAGAATGGGGTTGAAAGATAGAAAGAGTAATTCTACGAGAATTAAATAACAAAAAGCCAATTCCAGGATATAAATACATAGTCTTCACACATGCCCAGGAACGAGGCATTCAAAAATCGTTTTCAAAATTTTACGGAAATTATATAATCGTTTTTTTATCATCATCATTCCTGATTCACCGAACACGAAATTCCTTGAATACTGTACCTCCATTGATATTTATTCTACTATACCTGCGCGGTTTTTAATTACATTTTATTTCATCGTCAAAAGACAAAACTTTCGATGGTTAGCGGTCAAACTTACGCTTTCGATAGTAAATCTCGAACCCAAAGCAGTAGATTTCCGGGTTATTCGGAAGCATCTGGAAGAGTGGCGTGAGAAACTTGAGCGCTTCTTCGAGAGGATTTTCAACCTGAAACAAACAAAAATATGGATAGACGTTAAAAAAATAGTTCCAAGACGGAAACAAAAAAATTGAGGATCGAAAAACACCTATTGATCCCTTCGCGTTGGACTTTATTCGGGGAATTTATGCTTCAGCGACATCTGCTAGGAAAAAGTGGACTAATTTTTTGTCATCTTGAGCGAATTCTGGCGTTTTCAACTACAGTTATGCATCTTGCGGTATTCACACCAGTACACATCACACATGCCAAGTGAATTTCATTAAACGGTACTACTGGCAAGTCTTGGCTATTTTTACAGCTTTCACATTTTTTTCACGACGTTTCACAAACAAAATTCAATTTCTGCTTCACGAGAAAATAGTCGCTTTATTTAATCTAATTTTTTTTGGGCACGAACACAAGATTCCCTGAACAAGGTGCCGAAAACCAAGAGGCGGCATTAATTCAAACAGGGTCTGTGAGACACACGAAGATACGGGGAATTCGGACTTCGTCTCGTAGATGTCGCCGCCAGTTCATGATTCCTGCGTGCGCATGAACGTAAGCCGCATAAGGCAATGAAGTGAAAAAAAAAAATCTCACCCCCGACAACTTGTCCGGATTTAGATCGTCGTTTTTCTTCGGGGCGTCTGCCTCTCCGTCCTGATGATTCGCGCTGTTGGGCGTTCCTTTGGCTTTGCTCTGCACATTCTGACTCAGCTGAACTTGCTTGGCCCGTTCCTCCTCTTGGGCGGCCTTCTTCCGAGCTTTCCTTTGCTTGTTCCTCAGTTTCCGCAACTCCGACGGATCCAGATTATCTGCGAATATTCAAATTTGAAAAAAAGAAACGTGAATGAAAAGCGTCGACGCAAAAAGAAGGGAACAAATGAAAGCGTCACGTTCGCGAGGCGAAAAACATTTTACGATTGCGAAACTAACCTCGATTCCTCAATTTAGATACCAACACGATTTTCAATCCGTTTCGTGAACTTACCCTGCATTTCAAGTACAGGACTGTACAGTCAAACCCCGATCACCCGCCACCCTCGACAACCGCCAATTAATTTTGAAAAAAACAAAAAAAAATTCCCTCACGATAAAAGCTCCGGACCCCCTTAAAACAACCGACTGCCGATATCATTGATTCAAATATCCTTCAGCAAATAAATTGTCTTAGATAGCCCGACAATAAGCGTCAAACCCACAATTTCAAAGAAATGTACAGTATTTACGGGTAAATACATTTCCCTGAAATCGTGGGTTTCAAGTTTTTTTGGGATTTTTTAAACCAGGGTCTTCTTGATTAAACAGCATTTCAGACTTTTTTCATAAAAGCGTTCATTTTTTTTTGCGCCAGAAATGTTGCTGCTATCGCCAAATTGTGCAGAAAACGGAAGAGAGTTCAAATGACCTTGAAGAAATTTCGAAAAATTATGGATTACTGTATGCATCATGATTGTGAACGGAGGCCTCTCGCCAGTAAGTCATGAAACAAAATATTTGAAAGCATTTTGGTGAGTAAATAATGGATTTTAAAAATCGAAAACTACCTGCTCAAACATGCAACCTTCCGAACCAACAACAAAAAAACGCTCCACCCAAAGCTGCAATTTCCGGTTTTCAGAAAATTTTACATTCAAATTCGATCAAGTCGTTTCATAAAAATTCAAACAAAAACAAAAAACGGCATGCAAGACTAAAATACGCATTCAGAGAAAATTCAGCCTTTCATTTCATTCGACCTCCATTTGGCAGAAAATAAGCAAAACTCGGGTGAAAAGAAAATCTGCGTCAAATAAGCGCGAAAAAATGTGTTAATAGGGCGATTCATAATATTCCAACCTTGCAGAAAAAGCCGATTTCGACACTTTCTTCGATTAAACTACGGTCTAACAATCACACGTCATTATTCAACAGTAAGTCAATCATCGTTCTAATTAAAGCTCTTCAAGATGACGCACAAAAATTGATTCCCATAAACCCACGAAGTAAAAAAAATTTCTCCACTAAAAATATTTTGATTCATTTCTAGATAATGTCAAAGAATCGAATGAAGCCCAAAGCAGTTGAATCAAAACACGTTTCTTTTTGCACACAAAATATTCTTGACTTATTATGAAATGCTAGTTGTTCCATTTGAACTTCCGTTGTTTTACCCATTATATTTTCTAAATTTTACATTTTGGTTTTTAAAAAAACAAAAAATTAATTTTTAAGCTAACCTGGCGAATGTTCAGCACCAAGTGTCATGAGTGGAGAACTCCGGCTGTAACTGGAAAGTTTTCAATTATCATCAAGCAGTAAATAAAATTTTTTTCGATCAGGAAAAAATTCCAGAATCTTAGAACATCATAGTCTAATTTTTCATCTTTATTTTTTTTTCACTTTCATAACCACTCTGAAAATATAAGAAATCGCGTTCAACTGGGACAATCCTCGTATTTTCTCGTCCTCGTAGAATTATTTCAAAATGCAGATAAAACGCACAAGCGTCGCATAAATTCACGAGAAAACCTTCCCGCGTTCATGCAGAAAAAAACTCGCTCTACAAAAAATCACCCACTCGCACATTTTAACGTCAAATTACGAAGCCGAACAAGCCGAAAAGGTAATAACAGTAATTTTAAAACTTTACCGTCCGAAAATGGTCAGCAACATTGACCTCGAAACCGGGATTCCGATCGATAAGTTCCCTAATTTGGCGCAAAAGCGAAGTGTGTTTTCGAATCGAACACACCCAAGGAACGAAGTCCTTTCAAAGAATCGACAACGAGCATAGAGACATCTTTGTCTCGATGTTGATGAGCTTGAGGGCTTTTCAACACTATGATTAGCGTCTGTGAAGACTTTGAGGCGTTGTTTAAAAAAATAAAATAAACATTTATCTAAGAAATAATTGCTACGTTTCGAAGCATTCACTTCACCTCCTAAGGTCACTATACTAAATCGGTGTTGAAAGAAAGGTGGGATCATCTGACCGAACATCAGAAACAATTCTTCCGCATGCCGACGCACGGTATTTTCAATATGTAAATCTGGCAGAGATATTTTTGCATAGAAACTAATTCTGATTTTATTTACGTCTCAGCAAATTCTTCTTCCCATTCCCTCAGAGATAAAACAACACTGGAATTTAATCCCAGAAAAATATTAAATAAATCATTCTCAGAGTAATATCACTATGAAGAAGTGTTCCTCGAGTAAAGATGGTGTTTCAATATAAAAACCCAGCAGATATCTATTATTGTACAGAAACTAATTTTGCTCTGGTTCCAGAAAATTCTTTTCAGCATTCCGCAAAAAAAAAAATCAAATGCAATCCCAGTTCTTTTAATACAGGTAATTCAATCTCAACATCACAATGAAGCAGTGTTCCCCAAGGTTTTTGGGCCCGCGGACCGGCAAATTTCCATAAAATTGTTTTAGATCAGCAGAAGTCTTTTAAATTCTGCACCTGCCGTGAAGACCTCCCAAACAAAAGTTTCATAGCAAATATTGAGTTAAGAACCAATGAAGTACTGTACTCTAGCTGTAGTGAAATGTCTCAAAAAATGAGAAAGCTCGGCTTCAAGAAAGGTTTCTCAGAATGAACACTTAGACTAATTTATTCCAGCTGGTGAACATTTGTCCGAAGTATTACAATACAGTATTAGGAAAAAAGCCACTTTTCATTTTCATCAGATAATTTCAACTGCCAATGTCTTTACGACATTTCAGATGAAAAAAAAGACTTCAATACTGTACTACCTTTGATGATTGTATAATGTTTAACAAATTTCCCGCGGACCAGCAAAAAAACTTCTGCGGACCGGCGCCGGTCCGCAGACACTATTATAACCAAATGTTCCTCGAAAAGAATTTTGGAGGGACCCTCGAACATTGTTGCAACGAGATTTCACCTGTATCCAGAAAAAAAAAGGCCCTGTCGCAGTTTCATCGCAATCGTCAACGCCCTACTCAAAAACACACTTGAAAAAATAAAAATATATAAAAAGGAATCACGCCTTTCGCGATTACGAGTCGTAAAGCCAACCAGGTCGTTAGCCAATGTCGCGACCTAGAAATTGGGACAGTTGGCTCGTTAATCCGTCGACCGAACCACCCTTCGACAGTGGCGAGCGATCTCATCGCGACGGAAATATTTCGGGGTCGAGTGGCGCAACGTTTGCCGTCGTCTCACAAGAAGAAAGGTTCTAAAATATATATATATATATATATATAAACGGAATAACCCCACCCACTTGACAAGCGAACAATTTCGTAATTGTCTGAATCGACACATTCATGTTCTCCAATTAAATTTTCGGCCATGCGAGAATACCTTGCTCGACCACAAAGAATTCAATGCTGATCTTTGACGAAACAAGGACAATTTTGAATTCCAAGAGATTTCCACACATTGTAGAATAGCTTCTTCGATTTACGAATACTGTACTTGAAAAACATGGCAAAAAAAGGGAAGTATGAAATAACCCGAAACCAACTGAATGCAACAACAATTTCGTAATTGGCTCAATTTCGTCCCTCGATTATTTGGCAAGAAAACCCGGTCCGAGTCATCAACGCAATTTTCTGACAAGGGAGGGAACATGCTGGGTTTTACCAGATTTACAAATTTTAGGCAATTTCACTTGTATCCCCTAATACTTTTCTTCAAACTCGCAAGAAATTACGTTCAAAAATTTGTGATAACCCGAATAAGTGCGGTTTTTAAAAGTTCCAAGTCGGTCTCTCAATAAAACCCAGTTGAAATCGGTGACAAAAAACATGTTCTTTGATCGAGCAGATATTCTCATTTGAATTTCATTCTCTCAAAATTCAGCACATTGATTTGTTTGCTTGCGACCTTCTTTTTTTTTGGCGGTCAAGTCAGAAAAATGTGGTCTGTTATGATTTGAAAACACAAGCAGAAACATTTTCTGAATTGAACAATTTAGCGAAATCGTATTTTTCAATTCGTAAGTCACTACAGATTGGAATCATAAAAATTCTAAGATGAGAATGTATGCGCAGTTGATGAAAAATACAGTCGACATATGAAATATTCCAGAAAGAAGAGAAGGGTAACATCAAAATCTCACAGAATTCTCACCACGTTATTTTTTTCCGCTCTCAAATCTTCCAATTTAGCCTTGATGGAAAACGAATCGAGAGAATAAGCATTCCATAAGCCTTAAAAAAAAAAAAGATAAGACTACCTTCCAGTCTCGCGGATTCGACAAAGCGCCTTCATGCACTTCAATCTCGGCCATGCCCGTGCAATTACAATATCCGGGTTGAACATCCGAGAAAAATACTGGGTATCCAACCTACAAGACAACGAACGCCTGCAACTTCAGCAAAAATAAAAAATCTTTTCGAAATACGGCCAGGTTCCTTTTTCCTTCTTTTTTCAAATCAAACGTCATCACGCAAAGAAATCTTTTTCAAACTTCCGCTATAGCAGTACCAGCAAAATAACTGCCCTTGACTTCGTCCCTCAAATCAACAGAAAATGTCAAGATGATAATGCTTTTATATAATGAGACACTCAAAAATAAAACATATTTCATATGTCTTTCCACAAGGAGACGCATTCCTCTGGAACAAAAAAAACCGTTCTCATTTCTGAAATAATATATACGATGCAACATTCCATTTTTTCCCAACAATACTGTATTGTACATTGGATCATCTGATAATATAAAGAAGTGAATCGCCTCAAGCTGGGAATGAAAACGAAGGAACTGCGGATTCCAAGAAAAATAAGGCATTCTCACTCAGACTAAAAAATGGGTCACATTGTCAATGAAAATACAGGAATAAATCAAAATTGGGTTCCCGAATTAGCATTAACAATATCCCAGTGTATGAACAGTCGTTTAAAAAAAAAGTTGCTTCCCCATTCGTACTCTTTTCCTTTCTCAGCCACCCCTTTTTATTTTTAGTTCAAGAGTTATTGTCTGCACTCTACAAGACTTGAAGAGACAGTGAGAAATTTTGAAAGAAACCGCGGAACTGCGACATATTTCCAAAATTCGTTTAATTTCATACATTAGCTGCCTCTTCTACATTCATTTATTCAACATTTATTCTTCTGGGTCCCGAAAAAGGCAAAAAAGAGTTTCAAAGTGAACTAGTGAGACCCCCCACATGCGGACACCTCTACCTGCGGACAATTTGACATAGGGAAACTTATTTTCGCAGAAAAAATAAATAAAAAAGGCCTGACATGAGGACACTGACTCAACATAGGGACATTTTGTGATACAATTGCAAATACATTTTAGGCCAAATTACAAGAAACGGATATTTCCAACCCTAAAATTGATCTAAGAAAACTTCTTGGGCATTTCTCTCATCAATCACTCATCAATTTAGCTAATTTTAAAAAATTACCTCCAGCATAGAGGGACTTCTACTTTTTCACTTGAATGTTATTTTTGTAGATGCCAACATTTCAATTTAAAGTACAGAGATACACTATTCAATGCTCCAAATGTTCTAATTGAGTTGAAAATGTATTCACTATTTCAAATTCAATTGGCAAACAATTTTATTCAGGGAATTCTGAAGAATATTTCTCCCATAAAACACCAATTAAAAATTATATAATGTAAGTATATAGGAAAACAAGACTCGACTTAGGGACACTCTTGATGCACTAATTATGTCCGCATCTCGGGGTCTCACTTACTTCTTTTCCCCCTCCATGATCCACGAAAATTGACAGCAAAACGTCAACGTCGGGCATCACGAACGGTTCTCAAAACCTCAAGACATGACCGTGTTCGAGCATGAACATCGTCACGACACATTGACAGACAACTTTTTTCGGTGGACTCGATTTCAACATCCGACATTTCTATCATCATCCATCTTCCAAAAACAACGACTTCTGTGTGGTTCACTCTCTCGATGACAGAAGATGCTCTCGATGGCATTTTATACGTTTTTGATTTAAAAAAAAAAAAAAAACAAACGGGCCTTGCCATTTCAAGAATTCAATTGCTCCTCCTTCATATTCCTTCCAGATTAATACACCAGTTTCGCAAAAAAAGAAAGGTTTTTCGCAAGAAGATAAAGAAATTGCATGTTCGTATGAATTCAGCACGTAATACAGTAATCTCGTTATAATGAATAATTTCTTATAATGGATTAGTTTTTTAGGTCCCAACCCAATAGCAAAAATGCTGTTACTTTATAAAGATTTTTTTTTACAACGACGCTATTTTCAACGATTCCTTCTGTTCCCCTGAATTTTTTTGTAGAGAGAGTCCATCCGTATGGGTTGGAGCAATTTCTTCACATTTACAGCGATCAAGAGCGACCTTTTAAAAAACATAAAGGTGCATTTCAAAAAAATCGTAAATAATCCAATTTAATTTTCTCGTCATCCAAGGCCACCCCGTTTTTACATGTGAAAACCCCTTCGAAAATTATGCTAACGTGAGAGCCCCCAGAGTAGAATGAATCGAACTGCTCTCGACAAAGCAAGCAACGGTTTCCCTTCCGGGCACGAGACAAGTAAGGTGAAGAAATCTCGACAACACAAAAAATGGGTAAAGAAAAAGAAGTGGCAATGAGGGGAGGGGAGGGTACCCCCCCTCAAGAGCTTCGTTACACGAACCCGAACCCGGCAGTCACGCCCGGATGCAGAGTCCCTCTCGCCGGGGTTTCGTCACTCGGACCGACCGATCGAGTGGGTATGATTTCCCTCAGCTTTGCTGTTAATGCTTCCCGGCCACACGAATCCCGAACCCGTCGGGGGTTGGGCAACGTAAAAAGTCGAACCGAATCGCTCCAGGCATTTCCAAACGGAGAATTCAATTGGGTACTAGGAGAGCCAGACGACATCGACAAATTCGGCAAACTTGAATTATTTTACGACTTTTTCAACACATTTCAGAAAATTCTTTCGCATGAATTCACATCCGTGACGCGATTCATTTACTAAAGCTACAGAAAATTCGCATTCCAAATGTTCAAGCGTAAAAACATAATTGCAGGTTTTTCAAAACTGCAGGCACGTAATAGAATGTAGCACAATCTCGCTATAAAGAATAATCGATTACAACGAAGTCGTTTTTTAGGACCATGTCCAATAGCCACAACGTTTTATGAGTAACTTTAAAAGCTTTTTTTTAATACTGTACTGATCCAATAATATTCCACTGTAATTCTTTCCTTAATTAACATTTAATTCCAAGGTACGCGGACTTTCCCTCCATGAGAGTAGCGAGCAATTAATATGGACTTCTTCAATCAATTGTCAAAAGAAATCCCGCTGAAGGGGAATCAAATTGCGAACAAAAATTATGAAGCATTGGAGATTAAGCATAAAATTTGTGAATTTATTCCGCTATCAAATTATGGACCCGGACGTTAGTTCCACAGCACCAACACATTTTTGATCGCCATTCGCAATTAGGCCTCAAGAAATTCATCAAAAGAAAATTATTCGAAGAAAATCGGCAGCCGCCAAACCATACTTGGAATATTTTCGGCCTAATTAACCTCGCCTATAAAAAAGAACAAGCTTGTCTTCGACTTCCGGACTGCGGATCACGGTCATCGGAATTCCGAAAAAACTGGGCGCTTCTCACATTACTTAACTAGAGAGCGAAAAAAAAAACAAATCCATCAAGAATAGCTCAGGGACATACCGTGAACTCGACACGAGGTCCACGACTTCCCTGAATACAGATACACATTTTCTGCTGTCGTCTTCCTCATCACGACATGAATCTCAGTCAAAATAATACGTAATTCTCTTTGATTCGAAAAAAAAAACAGTCAGTACACGACAATAACGCTTCACTTGACGCATTAAAAATGAGTGATTCACAGAAAAGATGCCATGACACAAAGAAAAAATATATATTTCCGGCATCCACTGTAGTGCCATATCAGGAAATACAGTAATTATCACACTAGAAGTGAATTTTTTTCTAAAACGGAAACAAGGATCATGATTTCCATCGCTACCGCATTTCCGCGTTTCGCATGAAAATTTTTCCGGAGTTCCAGAAATTAAAATACGGTACAATCAGCGTATACAAAATTAAAATTAATTCAGATGTTATTTTACGAGTATGCACAGACAGGGGTATCTGAGGGCACGATGTCCCATGCACCAAAAATATCAGGAAGGAAGAGGAGGGGAGCTGAGCAGGCGCGGAAAGTTGACAACAAAGGACCCCTGCGGGACCCTTTTTCTGGGACCATTACTGCATGTAAATGAGTTCCTTGACGACGAATCCCGAACCCGTCGGGGGTTGGGCAACGTAAAAAGTCGAACCGAATCGCTCCAGGCATTTCCAAACGGAGAATTCAATTTGGTACTAGGAGAGCCAGACGACATCGACAAATTCGGCAAACTTGAATTATTGTATGACTTTTTCAACACATTTCAGAAAATTCCTTCGCATGAATTCACATCCGTGACGCGATTCATTTACTAAAGCTACAGAAAATTCTCATTCCATATGTTCAAGCGTAAAAACATAATTGCAGGTTTTTCAAAACTGCAGGCACGTAATAGAATGTAGCACAATCTCGCTATAAAGAATAATCGATTACAACGAAGTCGTTTTTTAGGACCATGTCCAATAGCCACAACGTTTTATGAGTAACTTTAAAAGCTTTTTTTTAATACTGTACTGATCCAATAATACTGTATTCCACTGTAATTCTTTCCTTAATTAACATTCAATTCGAAGGTGCGCGGACTTTCCCTTCATGGGAGTAGCGAGCAATTAATATGGACTTCTTCAATCAATTGTCAAAAGAAATCCCGCTGAAGGGGAATTAAATTGCAAACAAAAATGAAGCATTGGAGATTAAGCATAAAATTTGTGAAATTATTCCGCCATCAAATTATGGACCCGGAAGTTAGTTCCACAGCACCAGAACACTTTTGATCGCCATTCGCAATTAGGCCTCAAGAAATTCATCAAAGGAAATTATTCGAAAAGCGGAGAAAAGCGGCAGCCGCCAAACCATACTTTAATATTTTCGGCCTAATTAACCTCGCCTATAAAAAAAAAACAAGCTTGTCTTCGACTTCCGGACTGCGGATCACGGTCATCGGAATTCCGAAAAAACTGGGCGCTTCTCATATTACTCAACTAGAGAGCGAAAAAAAAAACAAATCCATCAAGAATAGCTCAGGGACATACCATGAACTCGACACGAGGTCCACGACTTCCCTGAATACAGATAAACATTTTCTGCTGTCGTCTTCCTCATCACGACATGAATCTCAGTCAAAATAATACGTAATTCTCTTTGATTCGAAAAAAAAAACAGTCAGTACACGACAATAAAGCTTCACTTGACGCATTAAAAATGAGTGATTCACAGAAAAGATGCCCTGACACAAAGAAAAAAATATTTCCGGCATCCACTGTAGTGCCATATCAGGAAATACAGTAATTAACACACTAGAAGTGAATTTTTTTCTAAAACGGAAACAAGGATCATGATTTCCATCGCTACCGCATTTCCGCGTTTCGCATGAAAATTTTTCCGGAGTTCCAGAAATTAAAATACGGTACAATCAGCGTATCTCGAGAAAAATTGCCACGTTGGACAGTTCCGGTCGCGAGGATGAACATTTAAAATTCAGATCATACCACATTAATTACAAAAATGAAACTCGATCCCTTCAAGGTAAAGCCCAATGTATACACGCATAAACGGCTTTTCAAAACTTTAAATAGCGAGCCTTCTAAATGAAAACACAACACGAAGTTCCCGAAGAAATAGAGCAACAAAACCAGAGCTGGTGTCTTACTTCAGTTCACACCATTAATACTTTTTTATATTCATTCCTTGAATAAACTCAGAAATAATTGTTCGGTTCACTCTTGAAAAAAACAAACGGCTATGAATATTCGGAGGAATATTCCTGAAAAGCCTACTTTTTACGGAAACGCATAAGAACTAAATCACGGAATTCAGGGAGAAAGGAGACAAGCTAAGATCAAATATCCCAATCTCAAATACTGTACTCTGTAAATGTATTGTACAGTACACAAAAAAAGACAGGTACGGTAGTGAAACGTTTGCTCCCATCCACCTTCCTGAAAATCCCAGGGTGTCACGCTTCGACTGCCACAGACAAAGCAAGGCTTTCGCTTCCTCGACTCATTTTTATCCACTACTCCCAATTCCTTTCATTCATTCATTCACCTGTATTTCGCTTTTCGTTTCGTGCCGAGATTATTAGATCGCGGATATTATCACAATGAAGAGGGTGGGGACGGCGGGCAAAGAAGAAAGGAACGATTTCCGCCAAGAAGTTCACGGTCAGCTGCTGTCAAATTAGATCGAACATCAGAAAGTCATGCATATGCATCATTCCCTTTGTTGGGGCCTCTCTGAAACCTTCACATATCCCATTTTTTAAAAGTCTACGGAATAATCTTGAAAAATATTTGCGACGTTGAAATTGCGCATTTTCTAAAGTTGGACCTCGATAACTCGAACCCCTCCCCATGTCAAATTGTTTCCAAGTCCCCGGCTCAATTTCGTTAAAAACAACCCCTTAACTCGAAGGCTTTTCCCCTCAGACCATAAACTAAATTTTCTGGGTACCCTTTAGCCATTTATTTTGTTGGCACGGGAAAGAGAAACGCAATAAAAATGCTACTTGATTTGTTTTGAAAGGACGCGAAGGATTGCTTGAGCAAATGAACCCTAACCTCAAAGTTCAGCATCTTTTCAAACCCCTTGACTCGAGAAACAATT